CTGAAATCCACCCTAGGCAGCCAAAACCGATTCAACACGATGCAGGTACATCTAAGTAGGATGTGTTGCAGGGCACTGTCAACGATAAAGCCTTCTATAATAATTCCAAGCCAGGTCCGCTCAGAAGTTTCCTTCTGAAACGCGGCGCCGCTCCGCAGGGACTGGAAGGAGAAGCACTTTCGTTTCGATTTTGCTGTTTCAAGTGTGTTCCGGCTTCTTGTGGGAAGAGATTGTTGGGACCTCGGTTTCGGAGGTTCGTAGACTTAAGCAAAGCTGCCTCTTGGGTGAAGTTGCTCTGCTTCAAACCCGCCTTACTTAAGCTTTGAAGTTGCAGGTCCTAGATAGACAGTATGGCTTCTCCGGAGGGCACTGACCGGCGAAGCGCCCAAACTCAAGAGATGCAGAGATTTCAGGAAAGGACCTGCCCGGCACCCTTGGCCCTCACGCTTGGAAGCATCAGCCGAAGTGCAACATAGTGCAACTGTGACAGGATCGGAGGTTCGGAAGAAGGCTTCAGATAATATCTTGGGATAAAGTACGAACAAGATCATACAATACCATATAATATAATACTGTATGATTTGCAGTAGAGTAAAATAGAACAAAACAAAACAGAATAGAGAATATAGTGCAATAGCCCACCAAAGGGACACCCGGCTGCTTCGTAGCGCTCCTCGGCTCTTGCTGCCTCGCCTTGGCGAGACAACTCCTTGCAATTCAAACTTCAACTGCTTTTGTTCTTGTTTAGGGTTTAGGGTTTAGGGTTTAGGGGTGTAGGGGTTTCAAGGGGTTAGGGTTTAGGGTGTAGGGGTTATCGTTGGTCTTCTCATGGTGAATATGGTCATTGCTACCCTTGCTGTCATTAAAATTGTTGCCCGAAGCATGTGGCGTTGGTCCAGCACGCAAACGAGCTCCTCTCTGCACTCCGTGACGAGACGTTCCAGAGCTGTAGCCTTCACAAAGGGAGCACATAAACACTCTGCTTCGTCTGCTCGAGTGAGCGCTGTCGTGCTCATGAACATGCAGATGTTGCACAAGCACCCTAAACCATCCTAAACCCTAAGTCCGAAACCCTAAAGCTCTTGACTGCTTGGGCTGTCCTGGTGGCCGCTGGCTCTAAGGTCTTTGCGGAGCTCTGCCAGGGCAGCCTGACGGTGCCGGAGCCGTGATGAGGACAAACAAGACGAGGCAGGAAGAAGAAGAGGAGGAAGAAGAAGAAGAAGAAGAGCAACGGTAACAGTCGTAGTAGTAAACCACCATCATAGTCGTCACCATCACGCTCATCATCAGCATCATATTAATAGTGGGTAGCTTCAAGCTTTAGGGAGAAGGGCAGAAGGCTAGAGGCTGGGGTTTGGGGACAGGCGTGTCAGGTCCTTCTAGTGAGTGTCTAAGCTGTTTGGTGAAGCCACTACGGCGTCTGACCTCTCGGTAGCCAATTCGAAATGCAACGAAGTACAGGTCAAAAGCATACTTCAAAGACTTCGCTACTGAATTGTAAGCCTGACACTGGGAAGTGCTTTTGGCAAGGCCCCGTTGGTCTTATCTGCTAGTGCATCATCGCTTTCAGGGCTTGGCTCTTTTGATATCGTCTCAGGGGGGTCTGCAGGTTCCAAGCTTTGCCGACACTTTTGCTGCACTCCGTCCAGCTGGGCATGGTCAGTATGTTGTTCACAGCTCACCAGGCCCCAAACGTCGGACAAAGGGACTGGCAACCCGGCTTGTTGGTATTAAGACAAATGAGCATTGCGCACAGTTTTACCATTAGGTCTGAGGTGCGACTCAACCACCAGGCGCAACCCCGAAAGTCCTCACGAACAGACACGTTTGACGTTTGACCCTCAGCCGACTGCTGGCCCTCAAGCGACGTCCAGAAAGAGTAGATCGCGACGTTACGAAAAGCTTTCTGTCTGGCATAACGGGTGCTGTTACAGCTCAGAATACAGAGGAAACGATGATCATGGGGAACCTAGAACTGCAGAAGATGGCTTTTTGCCATTGCAATTACGTTGATGTTTTGCCAGCATGTGAGAGCTGCAATATATGAATTGGGCAAAGCGTGACAAACCTTCGGAAGGGTGCTTCGCAAGGGCGACGTCAGGCAGTCTGCCCTGCACCTCTCGGACCCTCAGAGCATTTCGAAGGCCAACATGATGACATCTGATCACAGCTGCAGCGGTAGAATATTGCAACTTGCTGCTTTGAGGAGTGCTTCCACCTAATAATCCGCTCGCGTGACCAAAAAAAGCACTGCATCAACCAGTGGCCAAGCAAGACTCGCGCGGCGGCTGCTCGATGATTGCAAAGATGGTGCTGTAAGTGTGGCACTGTGGATCACTGTGACGATTGTGCCGTTGGTAAGCTTAGTGATGAAGAAGCAGCTGATAATGATGCTGAGAATGGTGACCATCATCATGATCGTGATCAGGGCGTGATCATGGATTGGGGGCCATGTGATGACAACACACAGACACAGTCAAAGGCACACACTGGGAGCAACACAACACGCAGCAATAGTCGCAGCAGCCTGCCGCTGCTCTGCTGCTGCTGCTTGCCTACTAAAAATAAAAAAGTAACACTAACACTAGTAGTAATAGAAATAATGATACTAATCATAGCTGCTAAGTCTGCAAGGATGGGCAAAAGCGGCCGCAGAGTCCAGCTTGAGAAACCCGCCCTTTGAGTCGGAGTTTCGTTGCTGGCACCGCGTGGGCTGCAACAGCCCAGGCTACTGCATCAAGGTACGGAAGGTACGGCACCTTCATGTGGAGTCGTCCAGAGGAAGTTGGCGACTCCGGCTCATGCTGTGGCTTTCGCAGTTTTCTCTAACGGTTCTTAGTCTAAGCTCTCGCCTTCTTTTCGCTTTTGTCGACATGTTTCGGAGTCAGTCGGAGTCTCTCCTCAGGCCTCTGAGGCTCCAAAGCTCCCAGGCAGACGAGCTCACGAGATCCCAAAGCCGTGGAAGTCTGGGTACCTTATTTCGTCTAATAAGAGTCCTAGTGTTTGAGCACTAGGTTAAGATCTACTACTACTACTACTACTACTACTACTGCTACTACTACTACTACTGCTGCTACTACTACTGCTACTCCGCCTGCTGCTGCTACTACTACTACTCCTACTACTACTACTACTACTACTACTATCATCAGATGGACTTCTAGGAGGCCACGTGGATTTGCCTTGCGACTCCAATAGAGGAAGCTGAGATTGCACCAAGGACACCTGAAGTACTCACGACTTGGGGACTGATCGTGATTCAGGGCTCTTGGGGGGATACATGAAGTTTATCAGCTCTGTTCAAACTGATCTCTGTGAGCAGTGAGCCCAGTCCGCGTGGGACCCAAGGAGCCTTCAACATGTCACAATCGCCAACGCAATCGCAGCCACTGTGAGCATGCTGTCACTTTTACCAAGCTCAGCAGGCTTTACAGAAGCACTGCCCTTGGAGACCCAATAAGCATATCATGGAATGCAATGAACGCAGTTCTCTTGACAGCAACTCTAAGTGCCCCAGACTTGGGCATGGGGGAAAGGGGTGAGAATCTTTCTGCAGTTCCAGAAAAGGATCCTGCAACCACAAACACACAGCTGGCATTCTGAGAAAAGTACCCGGCTCCAGGACTTGAAGTCAAAGGTGATCTCTAAAAAAAAGGTCCTGAATAATTAGAAAAGGGTTTTTTGGGGGGGTATAGTATACAGTATAACCAGAATCAATGATCAGGAACCCCAAGGAATGATATCGGCGGTCAAGTGCGTGCGTTCCTCCCGGGTCCGTGGTGCCGCTTATGCAGCAAAACATACACTCACAACGACTCACAGTTCGCATCAGAACGGTTGAAGACCGTGCTCATCTTTGCTTGCAGTGGACTTCTACAGGGGCCCTGTAGGGGCGATGGCCTCGCGGGGCCTCAGCGGAATCACGAGTACCTGGCACACAGAACTGGGCTATACTACATTGACAGTATAGCATGGCATATTGGGCTAGATTAGGTTTCATTACATGAGAGTCGAGTATATTATGTGCTGTTTTTTCGGCTCGATTGTCCGGCAGTGTCGCAAGCACAAACCGCCCCAACTTCGTGTGGCACAACCTTCAGACCCTCGTGTGTCTCAGCAAGGGCAAAGTGATTCAAACTCATTCACAACACCCGAGCAAAGAGGGGTCCTGAGAATCCGATGATCTGGGACCTGGAAAACCGCTGCCGTGTCCAGCTGATTACAAGTCCAAATGCGCGCGCGCGAAGTCGGGTATTCTGTGAAGGGGCACTTGGAGGACTTTGACATAAGGTCGGCAACGTTGATGAGACCTGGCATAAGATGGCACAAGCCATGAACCTTGCCCGACTACAGAATCTGTTGCCTTCTGGTCTACTGTGCGATGGACAAAATGCCAGCTTCAAATTCAACCATGTTTGCAGGCTTGCGACTTTGACAAGAACGCCAGCGACAATTGATGTGAGCCACGTGGATGCAGTCCCATGAAGCTGAAAGTGCCACCGGCGACACTAGATGCCATGCGGACAGCATCGCATCGAACGGTACGTATGCATTCCGTGCACAAGACATCGCTGCAAGTCAACGCACGCCCTGGAGACGCTTGAAGCTTCGGCTGTCGATGCTCAGCAGCTTGGCCTGCAGAGATCTGTCCGACAGTCTAAGGCAGTGCTGTCTAGCGTAGGAAGGAGCCAGGGGTGAGGTCTAAAGGGGCTGCTCCCATTCGCCTTTCGAGCAATACACTAGTAAAAGATGCATCTGCAAAACAACACAACTCCAGTCCAGGGCTTCGCACTGCTTTCGGCGCCCAATGTTTATTAAGTTTCCGCTGGTTGAGAACGATCCCTGTCCTAGGCCAAAATGTTCCTGTCACCTCCCCCTGATCGAGGGACCCAGTCCCAAGTCGCAACCCCTCTCTTTCCCACTAATATCAGGACAAGGGTTCAACTTCAGAGAAGCTGTGAATGACCCCCATCGGATGAGGGAAGCTGCGAGATCGTATCTCAGCCCCGGACATCCCCCTTGGCCACCACGGTAGCAGCACGTGGCTTGTTGTTGATCAGTGCCTGGTTTCTGCTCCCTCTGACATTTGGGTAGTTCTCTAAATTAGGGTCCCTTTTTAGGTCCCCAATATAGTACGGCATCCGTATAACAAGGACCCCCAAAAAGAGGCCCTATTTTAGAGAAATACCCATGGATCACCCCTCTCAAGGCAGCCAGCTGCCTCAAGGCTTCTTCCGCACAGGGGGGAAAGGGAACTGGTCCGAACAAGCTACCAACTCGCCGAAGTAGTCACCAGCCGCATAGCTCATGACTTCCACTTCGCCCTTGGTGGCCACGCACAGGCCGTCCTGGCGATTCCAAAACTCCAAGAAACTTGGCAGCAGCGGAGAGCTGTTGGGCCCCTGAGGTTCAATGGGTGCCTCGATGATGTAGAACTTGTTTCCTTCCTCACCCTCGGTGATGACCTTCTGACCCTGCTCGAAGGTTTCCACCTTCAAAAGTGCCAACATTTGTAAAGTGTCAGGCCAAGTACTGTGGTGACGGTGGTGAGCGCTTAGCGGCGGTAGAAGGAGCCATGAAAGCAGAGGATCGCGTGCTAGCTGCGCACTGAAACTCTAGGAACAGCTTATCCTACGTGCCAAAGACTTGGAGTGTCCAAGCTTTCTGGATTTAAGGGCCTTGAGAGCATCAGCAAGCTGGGAGCGTTCGTAGGCATCCATGGACGAGAGTAGCGGCACCTCAGAGAGCGACTTCTGTGAGGCTGCCATGCAGTGGGGCACGAGATATCACGAGATGGCACGAGGGTTTGGGACTGCAGGACTTCTGAACGCTCTTGCGGGCTTGGCAGGGAGCGCTGGGTTTCTGCAGAGTAGGGCCGTCCAGCGGGTTTGAGCTTCATGATTGGTGCCCCAACGCCCCGCATGCCTTGCTGAGGAAGGCATCATACCGCTGACGCTTCTTCTCGGCGGCCTCCTTCACCTGGGTATGGCGGAAAGAGAAGGCAGCAACAAGCATCTGCTTGGCGTTACCCACCGGCCTGCTATCACCATCTATCACAGCAGGCACGGCGGCATACTCTCGCTACAGCCTCCTACGAGGATCTCCCATGGCCGCGCCAGCAGCAACAGCAGGGGAAACAGCAGCAACTGCGAGCTCTTAAGGACAGCCGCTGAAAAATGTTTATCGTGAATGAGACGTCAGACCGATGGTCGCTCGAGCCTTACCGCGATACGAATTAATGAAACCGCAAAGTTGGCAAGCAATGTCGCTGAAGTATTTCCGCTGAGGGACGATGTGGTTGAAGGTGTCACGGTCCAGCTTCCAAAGCACGCAGTCTTCCTGGAAAGCACTAAACGAGGCATTGAAAATCATTGAAAGGATGGTTCTGAGCAGCGTCAGCACTACACATGCCTTGCGCGCCTTTGCGTCTACGGAAGCCGCACGGGGACAGTTGTACAGCAGAGCAAGCTCACCTGAACGTCCCAGGTCTTCTCAACCAAGTTGCCAGAATTGAGTGCAGCAGCAACGGCTAGGTGGCCAACCAAACACGTCACCCGGCTCGCACTTCTTCACCACAGTCTCCTCGCCGTCCTCACCCTTCTTGATCGAACAACTTGGCACAGGGCTCAATTGAATCAGGCAAGCTGCAAACGCCGTACCTACAATTCAATGATTTCGGCACTTTTCATCATTTTCGTCACTCAAGCGGGATTCCTACAGTACATGCCCATGACTTTCGCATAGTGTAACATCGGAAGATGTCGCGGCAAGCCCCGGTTCAGCAAGCTGACAAACAGACTGACAACTGACCGACGGCTATGGATGCCTTTTCAAACATGCAAGGCAGCTGAGTTGCTCAAGGACGCCCGACTCGATGACGAACAAGAAGTCGCCGTTGTCGCCTGCCGGTGTGAAGAGCAATTTCGATGAGAAGCGAAGCTACCAGTGTCACGAACAACTTCTTTCGGCCTTGGTTGATGACGCGAGTACCGGTCTTCTCCTGCACTTCTGTCATGGCGCCAATGACGATGTTGAGATCATTCCTGGTTCCGTCAGCACAACGGTCAGCGTATGGTCGAGTCGGGCCATGCATACCATGTGCTTGGCAGTGTGCCCCTTTGGATCTGTACCATGCCCTCAGGCATCAGTGGTCGTCCGAGCATCGTGTCCAGGTTGGAAAAGAGGAACGACTTCACCAAGCAGCCCTGCTGTCATGTCTGTACTCTTGACGAGATAATGCAAAGCCGCTTGAAGGCTACTGTTGTCACGGCAGCGGAAATTTCGGATTCTAAAAGCGCGTGTGTCAAGGAGAAAGCCAGGCTCTCCTGCCATCCATAGGTACGTGAATAGAGCTTGGGGATGCTTGTGACATTGCTTGTGGATATGCCGATGCCCGCCTTAAGACGTTCCTTCTGTTCGTCGGACTTGATGTGCACGGGCGGCACGAAGGCCTTCTTCGCGTTCCTTTGCACGGTTGGAGCACATTGCTGAAAGGTGTAGCTCAGAGTTTCCAACCTTCTTCTCTGAGTTTGTCATGACCCTGGTAGATTTGGACGTGCCAAGCTTAATCCTGAAACTGCAGCTGCCAACTCAACCGACTACCTGTGGAAACCACAGTCGTATGCTGCTCAGAAGCCACTCGCCGTAAGCTTCCGCAGAGACGCTCGTTCGACTCAGGTCGGGGAAGTACTCCATGCACACAGCAAGCAGCTCCAAGCAGCTCCAAATGGCTCCAAGAGGAGCTCTGAGGAGAGGACGCGCGGTTGTCCATGTCCTTCTCCCAGCCTGGAGGTGGCTCATCATCCTCCAAAGTGCTTCTGAAGGGTACCCCTTTCCAATCTAGGAAGCAGCCCGCTCCCAGGTGCGCTCGGAGGAAGCGCTCTTCCCTTGGGGCTCTCCTCGTCCTCCTCTTCTTCCTCCTCCTCATCTGCCGCTGGGGCGCTCTCTGTCGCCATCTTGGCCGCCTCCTGTACCTGGCACGAGCAGCTGCCCATGATCCTGAGTCTGGAATCGTGTGGTAGTCTAGGACTGAACACCACATCGCGCAGGCTTCAAGGTATGCTGTGTGCGCTGGATTCAGGCAGCACCCTCGGGTGGCTTTCAGGACTTGTGGTAGGCGGGTGCCCACATCACATATATAATATAGACTGCACTGACTGCACTGCTGCCCATGATTCTCCCAGGCATATTGAAACCTCATCGCACTACCAAGTTCAATTCTTCGCTTTCATTACAACCGCGTTCGCCTCGCGGCAGATGCTTCCGAGATCATCCGTCCACCCAACAAAACTGCCCAATCCTGTCTCTATGGCCTTAACCGCCTAGCTAGCAGCTAGACCTGCCGACACGAAAAAGCAAATCGGCCTGGCCCTTCAGCTTGCTGACCTTGGAGGAGTGACGCATCTCAGGCAGGTCTCAGAGAGCTTGCTTGCTTGGCCCTTGACCTTTCCGGTCAGCTCCTCATTCTCCTTGACCAGCTTCTCCTTCTCTTCCGGACTCAGCTTCTTGTCCTTTTTTGAAGCGCAGAGATCGAATCAAAAACTCGCATTGGTGGCCCTTTTCGGGAAGTACCTGGCCTCCTCCGAGGCCCGCTTGCTCTCCAGCCTGGGCCAAGACTCCCAATTCAAGAGCGCCGCCCCGCTCTTTTCTTAAGAGCCGAGGGGCCAGTCCAACATGAAAGGCACGGGATCCTGGCAGACACACAGATAGCCACCTACGCCGCAACCAAAAACAGTGCAATGCGATGCGTCCTTGGGCATCTTGTGGATGCACTCTGCCACCATCTCTTCGAGCACTGGATTCAACAAGTCCATGATGTACCTGGGCTGCTATCATTGTTCACCTGCTTCTGACTTCCGGCCAATGAGCCGGCATTTCGGGGCGGGTCGGTTCTATATTTGCTTTTGTTCCAAATTCTAGCAGTTCGCAACCGCCTGTGCAGTCAAAATCTGTATCTCAACCAAGCCGCTTCTTTTTGTCTTCAGAGATTTTGAGCGCCTGGGTAGCACCAGAGAGAACCATGCAACCACGCAACTGAAACCCACAAACTGATAAAACTCACGACAGCTTGTCGCCGAGCTTCTTCAAGTCCCTCCATGGCGCTTCTCTTTTGGGGGGAGAAAGCAGAAAAGGGCTTCGTTTCAGGGACTCACGGTCCACCTTTGAGCCAAAGGGCCGCGAAGGAACCCCTGGAATGACCATTCCGATGAGGACTTTTCACAACAATATCAATATATTAATTACTATTACTATTATTATTACTACTACTATTATTCATATTATTATGATTATTATAGTACGAAGAAGAAGGATAGTAACAGCAATATGTGATATCGACGATGTTTCTCTCTCTGTCTGATTCCCTCTACATCGGAAGTAGAGAATCAAGCTCCTGAGGAAGCTACGTCGTGCTGCTGACGACCAAGCTGCCAGCCTCCACGAAGGACTGCAGACGTGCTGTTTCGGCGGCTGCATCATCCGCCTGGGCTGGCAGCCGCATGTGCTATTAGTGGAGCATGTAGACAGGCAACCCAGTATCGTACGCGGCAGTAAACAGGAGACTCTGACTCTGGCGTGGTGGAAATGTAACCCAGTTCTCCTAAACGACGAAGGCGGGCAAGTCAAAAGCAGCTTTGGGCCACCGGCCGTGCTTTGCGCTTTGCCGGCGGCGGTTGCTGAGTCGTTGAGTCCACGACGCCTTGTGGCCACAGGTATGCCGAGCAGGTGTGGTTTGTTGATGCACTGCCAGGAAGAACCCTTCTCTCCAAATTCAAGGGCTGATAGGTGTCGAACAAAAGACTTTGCAGCCCCTATATTTCAGGAGGCGGCAAGTTGAGACAGCTTTCGTCCACGCCCGGCATGGCGTCCGTCAAAGCTTTAACTTGCATGCGGACCTGGCAAACTCTCGAACAAGGAATCCAAAATAGTCCAAATGGGCCCAGTCGCTGGCGCCTCCATGAAGTCAGATCGCAGCACGCTCAATTGCGTCTTCAAGTCATCCATGCCGGCCTGCTCAGAGACGAGGTGTTGTTAGAGGTTGCACGCTTCGACACTTCTGCATCACCCTGCAACCGAAGGCGATCGGCCTGTGCTTCAGAGCGCGTGGACGAGGCCACGTCCTGAACACGAGCTTGCACGGACCAGCCAGCACTAACGGGTCTGGAAGGAAACCAGGCACGCAAAACAAAACAGCACGTTCTAGGATGAGGCGATACATCAACACATATTGATGCTATGTCTTGACTTTTCGAACCGGCTCTGCTGAAAAGTTCAGAGCTGCCAGCCTGCACTACAAGGCGAACCTTAAGCAGCCCCATACTGCTGCCCCGAGCCGCTATGTCTCACAGCTCAGCCTTGCCAAATTGCTGCCTCTTAACGATTTCATCAAGCAATTTGGTAGAATAACCTGTTCTCCTAGTTTGACCATCACCTAAAAGGCCAAGACTGTATTCGACACTGTCCTCCAGGCCCCTGCGTGCTTCACTGCGGGACTCCAGGAACTGACCCTGAAGCTCCTGACGTTGGGTTTAGGGTTTACGGGTTTAGGCGTTTAGGGGTTTAGTAGGGGTTTAGGGGTTTAGGGTTTAGGGTTTAGGGTTTGGGGCCTGGGAAGTGGCCTGGCTTTGTCGTGATAGTTGCATTGTCATGCAGGAGCTTTCAATCCCTACCAATACTATTCCTTACGGTTCCACCAGGGTTTTGGCGGGTTTCGTGCCTCAGGGATGAGGGCCAACCGCTCGAGGCCCGATAATACGGAAGTTGATAGATTAATATGCCCGACCCCCCTTGGGGAGTTTCATAGATGTCTATAGTATACTTTAGCAAAGATAGTATACTACAGTATAGTACAGCGCTCATACATCTGTCGCCTCGATGAGCGCCAGCAGCTCGCGGCCGTTCAAGCGCGAGGCCTCCGAGGCTTCGGCCACATCGCGACCTGGGCGTGCAGGGTAGGGTTTAGGGTTTGGGGTTTAGGGTTTAGGGTTTGGGGTTTGGGGTTTAGGGTTTAGGGCTTAGGGTTTAGTTAGGGTTTAGGGCTTAGGGCTGAGGCGTTTTATGTGGGAACCTGATTTAAGAAACCCTGGCCCGATAACCCCAATATACTAGGATTCATATTAAGAACCCCAATAGACACCCACAGTTTCTTAAGCAGGTTCCTACATTAAGGCTCAAGGGGTTCATAAGTTCTCAGGTTTAGGGCGAATGTTTATCCACCGAACCTTCGACTGAACCCTCAACCCGAGAATTTAGGCTAGAATCCCCATCTTGCTTTAGATGCGTCCCGGGGTTACCTAGGAAGAGCTATGCTCCCCTCAGATATCGGCATCGCAGGATGCTCCTTTCTAACCCCCCTGCGTGCTACTATACAAGAATAATTAATATGTAACAAAAATGAAAAACAATATAGTCACAGGATCTCACCTATAATAAAACATGACATAGTTGCTTGCAGGTCTTCATTCCTGTTGCACTGCTTTCCGCATTGAAAACGTTACCGCAAGCTGCAGGAACAACGCTTGCTTGGTCACACAGCGCGTTACTAGCCACGTCCCCGCGTGAACCCTGCGACGTCTGAAGCTGAGGACCCCTGGAGTCGCTGGAAAAAGCCGCAGCTCAGAACCGCGCGAAGCTCCACGGCAACGTCCTGGAGCCGGTCTTGGCCCAGGGCCACGCCTGAGCGCAGCTCATCGCGCAGAACCTGAGGCCCATAATCGGATGGAATTTGCAAAAATCTCAGGAATGGAACGGGATGCTCACAGAAGCAACCCTGCAAGACAAATCTGCATGGCAACCAGCACGCACTGGGAGTGAGGATGAATGCAACACAGATCAACCCTAGATCAAAACGGCAGCCAGCCGGGATCCTACGTAGATGATTGGAAGCCCTCCGAGGGGTTGGCCTGCAAGTCTGCAGAGATTCCACTCTCGAGGTTTCGCAGGCCCTGGCCGGAGCAGCTGCACGACACCCGAACCCGAGCCTGCTAGTACGATTACCACTATTGTTAGCTACATTACTTTGAGTGTTCTCACTGTTACGAATATGACGATTGTTGTTCTTATTGATTTGGGTGGGCAGGTCTTCCAATTGCGACACCTGCCACTTTAATTTCGCGGGATGTGTTCTTCATAGTTGTTGGCATCGCTACATGGCTGTGCTTCCGGATATTTGCAGGGCAAGCCTCCGTCAACGTATTACTGATGGTTCGGGCTCAGGCAAATCAACCAAGCTGGCATGCTATCCCTGCCCTGGGTAAGGCGATAACATGCGGCAGCGCAGAAGTCTGAATCTAGAGCCCAGAGTTGGATGACTGGTCATGGCCTCTTTGCTATCTTCCCGGACCGAAGCCACAGCCTCGATGTCGGGCACTGCACAACAGATCAGCACTCCAAGAGCCTAAAGCAGGAGACCACATCTCCGTAGAGCCCGCAAAAACACCGGCAGAGATCTTGCAAGACAGTTCCCGGGAAGCTATGGCTCTCTGGCAAGAACATACCCATAAAGAAAGTACCAAGCGAGAGCAACCACATCTCTCACGAAAGTTAGTGCTCAAACGTGGGCTAGCAAGTCTCCCTGCCAGACGCCGTAGACCCTACTGTAAACTCGAAAACAACAACGCTGAAATCCTAAACAATATAAACAACCTAAACTCTAAAGCCCCAAACCTCAGGAGCCAGGCAGAGTTGATGGAGTCGGCTAGGTCCGCCCTCGCGCGGACGATGGCCGAGGCGGTCTGCTCTGAAGCCTCTCAAAGTCTTATGGGAGCTTTGGGGCCCTTTGTATAAGGGATACTATAAGGGTTGCACAAGGGCCCTACAAGGGTGACGCCAAGCGTGAAGCTGTGAGAGCTGCCATATCAGCTCTAGACGGGCGACCGACACGCGAACGAATACAACATGTGCAAAACGCAGATGCAAGTATTTACGCATATGTATGTGTATATATGTGCAAGCATGCATGCATGCATGCATGCATGCATGGACGGATGTATGGATGGATGGATGGCTCTGTATATACATACATTTATAATATGTGTATACGTGTATGTATGTATGTATGTATGTATGTACGTATGTATGTATGTATGTATGTATGTATGTATGTGTGTGTATGTGTTCTATTCTATCTGCGTATGTGTGTATGTCTATGTGAAGATGTATATTATAAAACACAACTGTAAACATCTTTGGCAAAGATGTATGGAGTTATTTTCATATATGTGCACACATACATACATACATACATACATACGTACATACGTATAACGTGGAAGTAGGTAGTGGGCCTCGCGGAACTGGTCGGCGACCTGCTGCGAGCGGCTCTCGAGCGCCTCCTCGACTAAAGACGAAGAGGGCTTTAGACTAACTTTAGAGTGTAGAGTTTAGGATTTTGGGTGCATTCAGGGTTTTGGAATTCTTTCACAGAAGTTGTGGGCTTAGGGTTTAGGAAGCGGTTTGGACTTGGCACCTGACAGGCAGTGGTCGAAGTTACTCAACATCCCCAGCCCCAGATCTTGCAGATGTTTTGAAGATTCTAGCAGGCTCCATGTTGCACACTTCCTACTAGTAAGACGCCCCTCTCGGTCTTTCTGCTGTGGTGCCTCGGCTGCAGAAGTTCGGCCATCAAAGCGGGCACAAGCGTCCTCGATGCGTGTCGGAGGCTGCGCAAAGTCCACTTGGCTTCGTTCGTTAACTGCCAACTTCGGGCCACCGCGATAAGCTCTAAGAATTGCGGGGCTAGCGCGGGAAACTTCTCTCGTTCCTCTCTTGGCCATTGCTTCACTGTTTGATTGCTGACCCCACATTACCCCAGCATGCTTCTCGTTCTGGCAGATGCTTCATGGTATAGTCGCCTTCTGTTCCGCGTAGGTCGCAGATGTGGCACATGCGCTGCATGTGCAGATCGCATCTTCAGCCGGCATGCCTGCAGCTTTGTCAGCTTCGTTTCGAGAGTTGTCAGCAGCCGCGCCTGCCAAGCTCTGACGGGAAGGGTGATAGTCTCCACGACTGGATGTCATGACTTCAACAAGACTGCAACCACGAGAGAGTTGTCTCACAAGGCAGCGCGAGCCGCACTTCCGTGACGAGCCATGGCCTGCTCGCCACTCGAGGTCTCCGAGGCGTCCGCACGCGCAGCCAGCGCGGCAGCTTCCTGGAAGTGCGAGCCCAGGCACTTTCACGGCACCTCCGAAGAGTAGCTTGGCTGACTGTCCACTTCAGAGTAAAACGCCTCACCTCCTGCAAAGCAGCGATGTGCGCCTTGCCAGATGCCCCACGGACAGAAATAGCGAGACAAGGTATGAGGGACAGTCTGCCGAGAACACATGCCGCACAATGGACCGAACGGTACCGAGCCTGTTCGGGACTATTCCTTACATTATTCCCTTTACTGCACAGAAGCTGGGGCTGCGTCTCTGCCAATGTGCCCTCACGATGGGGACTAAGCCGGAAAGAACCCGAATTCCTGATAACTTACTCCTGCCGTGTCGTCCAAACAGGCATCCCACAACCGAGGCACTCAAGCTCACGCTGCCCGTTCAAGAGATACGGATGGTGCGCAGAGGCCAGACACGCACTTGACAGGCCGTGAGCCTCGAACTTGCAGAGCCTCAGGACGTTGGCTGAGGTTTGGTCAGTCCAGCTCTCGTCTTGCCGACTAGACGCATGACTGGACCACCTACTGGGACAGAGGATCCGTGCTTTCGCTTCGACTGACACAGAGCCCAGCTCCTGGTAGCCTCTGCCGGTATCTGGCTGGTCAAGTGATGCTAGTGAGCCCAGACCACAAAGAAAAAGCTCCAAGGCTCAACTCTGCAGCATTCTGCAGCCCCAGAAACTCAACAAAACCACCCTGCAGAGACCCTGAGAGCCCCAAAGAGTCCGAACTGTGGCCCACGCTCCGCTGCCTGCCCTCGCAGCGCCACGTGGTCCTTGCCGCGGGCCTCCCGGAAAAGAGCATCGCCCCGCTTTGCTCTGAGCTTCAAAGCCAAAGAAGGGCGGAGGCTGCGAGTCTGCTGCCAGTCATCGCATCCGGGAAGGGATCCGACTCCGCTCCTCCAGCTGCTCGCTCAAGTCGGCGATCTGCACGCGGGTCTGCCGCACGAAGGTGGCCAAGGCATCCTCTCACCCAATGCTTGCATATGCTTGCACCGAGGAGGTTCACTTAGTGACTTACTGTAGTTTCGGGCCTGGCCTCCAGGACTTGCAGATTGCCGGAAAGCCTCGGCAGCCCCGGCCCCGCGTAGAGGCTTTTTGCCGACTCACTGAGCCATCGAGGCCCCGGCTTCTCGCTGGACTCCTGTAACTTCCGGAAGAACTCTTCGGCCAGGCAGCGGTCGCCCCTGCGCATGGCCTTCAAATGCGCCACTCTTGGCAAACTCATGACTTCTTCCACACAAGCTTCTGTTGGGCCGGCCCTCCAAACAAGTTCGTTCGAAACAGGACATCACAGCTCGAGTCTTGCGCATGAACTGACGTTGCAAATTCAAGTTGAGCACATCAGTGGCAACTCAGGGATTGTGTTGAGGTACAGTGCCAAATAGTGCTCTCTTTGATGTTCGATTCATGCTTCTTGTTGGCAATTCTATGTCTTGAAAACGACGGATGCTGCTGATGCCATGGAAGCAGCTTCACTGCTCTTCTGCTGCTCCCTGTTGTCGCTCGCACACTCTCGGGCATCTTGGTTGAAATCACGGCAGTGGTTCAGCAATGCCCGAGGCAGATCCAAAGACGAAGTTTGTCGATGCAAGGAGATCTCAAGGGGGTCAATGGCGCTGGCACGAAGCCGAATGCCACAAGTAGCGGAAAGATAACGACGGGGCGAAGCAAACGCGGCCAAGCCCCTCCCTGCCTCCTGCAGGCTCTGGTGCCTTCGCTCCGAATCCTCCGTGAGCTCCGCGCGTGCTGAGACAAGGGAGCCCCCGATGTCCTGGCAAGCGGCTCAGGGCCGCCCCCAGTGCATGCCACAAACCCGTCTCTTCGTATCTTCGTCCGCTGCACGCCTCCTCTTTGGCTTTGTAGTCTGCTAGAACAGGAACTTGCCGCTAAAGCAACTTGCATTCGGGCAGGTCCTGCACATTGCGCTGGAACTTATCTCTCAAGCCTTCCACTGCCTGCAGCCGCAAGTTGCACGAGCAGCATGACGTGCGTCCGACGCAAAGTGGCGCCGGTGCCTCTCTGCAGGCTTCCATGCCCTTCGCCTGAGAGCTCAGCCTGTCCTGGCAATAGACAAGCGTGAAGACAAGGTGGAACCAGAGGATGCAGTTGCATCTCAAGGCTGACCAACATCGCTCTTAGCGCGTCCCTGTCCTCCAAGACCTCACCTTTGGAGGCCTGCTCTTTCGCCTGCCTTGAGAGCCGCTCCACCTCAAACTGAACCATCGTGCAGCCGCTAAGCTTCAGTGCTTTAGGCCCCTCTGCGTCAGACTCGATAACGCTTGACGGCGCTTGAGATGCAGGTTGCCCTGCCTTCGTCTCCAAGCTCTGGCAGAGCCGGGCGACTCGGAGCCTGGGTTTGAGGCTGGGCTCAGGGCGCCTAACTGTTCCGAACATGCCGTCAGAATACCTGCATATACCTGCCCCATCCCCTCTGTCTGTGTTCCAATCAACCCGAAAGCGCATCGTGAGGAGACGTGGAGGAGAGAAGACACACGCAACATCCAGAGTTGCTTCAGTCTTGAAATTTAGGCTTTCGGGTTCGGATTGAGGGAGCGTTGACTCTGTGTCGGTGTCGCAAATGCGCATGCGTAGTTCTGGTGCGGCATTTTCCTGGCCCTACTGTGCTGGGAACACATCATCTGCTTGGATTGCTCCATTTCCCACCGCACAGCCTTGCGACAAGCCATGCTGCTGCGTCGTCGTCCGAAAATGAGTCGGGGCTACCGCTAGCCGCCAGCACTTGCAGCAGCAGATTCCTTCTGACATACAGCAGCGGATTGGAGCAGGCGTTGAAGCTGCGAGGTTTTTCCGAAAATTTCGACGACCTTTTCCTGCTGAACTGCCCAGCTGAGCTACCTGCTACGACCCGCAAAAACGCAAATCCAAGCCCTTGCCGAACCCTGACTCCTAAATCCGAGTCGCCATTCGCATGCCTGGGGTCGCTGCCCAGCCTCTCGGCGCTCGCTGGCCATCTCAAAGGCCTCCTCGAGCTTTGCTTGCACCTGGCCGTGCCAGGAGCGGCTACATGTACCAGTATGGGGGCTCGTTCTTGAAGACAGCAGGCACTCAAGGCATGTAGAAATCCGTCATGTATTTCAGTGATTTGTGTGGTTTACATCTTGCCTCACGCCTGTGGTCCACAAACTCGTCCTCAGCCAATCGGAACGAAAATCGAAAGGATCTCGACACTCCGCGTTCTCGTCTACAAGTGCAGTTTAGCGTCCCAGTGAGCCAGGAACCGGCCCTCTGCATTGACAGCCACACGCTGCTGATGCCTCTCTGGGTCACGCTAAGTCGATCCAGGCCCTTCGTGCCAGGAGATGCCAGGCTCCGCGCTGCTGGGAGTAGCCGCGATGCCTCAGCATGACGGGTTCTGACGGTCTTTTGCCTCAGCTCTTGTCTGGGTTCGGGGCGAAGCTGCGGAAGGCGAGCGGTTGCCCTCGCGGGATCCTCCGGCAGTACTGCCTGTAGTGGCTGTAGCGTCATGCTTCATCTAACGGGGACATGGCTTGGATGGATCTTCGAACTTCGAACACTTTCGATCCTTCCGTTGCATTGAGTACGCAGGTATGAAGCGAGGGACGACAGGCAGGTCTGTGCTGTCAAATGCTGAAGATGTGGAGCAGATTCGCCTGTTCGGCTTCCCGTCCTGCTACATCTTCACTCCGAAACAACATTCTCTCGGGCAGACGCAGAGTTAACAGCAGGTTTAACCCCTCACCGCTCACAGCCGGCCTGTGGGGCCCCCAGGTAAGGCCACCTCAGGCTTGTGCGCCACCAGAGCACTCTTAGGCTGCAGCTACAGTCACGGAGACTTCCAAAAGAGGTTGAGTAGCTAAGCTGGCGGCGGCAGAAGACGTGGGGCATGGAGCCATGCCGCACCAACGGAAGGAACTATGATGTAATATGATGTACTTGCGAGCAGACTTGAGCTTGCGCACGGCAAGCACGCATGATAGCTTACATGCATCATGCTCTACAAGCTTTGGGCAGTATCTGCTGGCTGCAGATGAAATTGCTTTGAGGAAGTGGTCTCGTCAAGCCTGCTAATGGCTTTGGGTCATGTAATGAGATGAGATGCATTCGCTTAGGAACAGTGCCTGCACTGCTCTTGGGATCGGCTTGCGATATCCTTCTCACAACTGCCTTCGAAAATTTCTCTCCGCACTTGCGTCCTCTCCCAGATGTGCTGCATCAACCGCGCCCCCTCCAGCCCGAATTCGCACGGTTCATCATGAAATCCTGCTCAAGTCACCAAGAAGCAAATGTCAAGGTACTGAGCTACCGTGGCCAACGGAGTCCTCCACATCAATGAGCGTGGCCTCATGAAAGACATCAGATGCCACGGTGCCAGCTGCCGACTGCACCGGGCCTCATCGAGCGGAACGACGACGCCACATCGCCTTATTGGTCAGGCTACCCCTGAAAAAATAAGGCCACCCAAACGCCACTTGGTAGGACCACACTTCAGTTGCACACAAGCATGTGCAAACAAGCGGCTCGACGCCGCTCTTCTCAGGACAGTCTGCAGCAAAGCCTGTCGGGCAAACTGCCGGCATTCAAATTGGCATTCAAAAAGCTCTGATCGCGCAATGCGTGTGCCGAAGCCGGCTGCCGCACCTGGCATGGTGCCTTGCCCATAGCGAATGATCTCTGTAATCTTCTGAGGCTCCTGCAGGAATGGCGGCAAGGGGGGAAGAGACACGGCTCAGCATACGTTCGGGACAGGCGTGAGCCCTCCTTCAAGAGCCCCCATCGTTCCAAATCTTCCACGTTCAAACCTCGGAAATGGGTGCTGCGCAGCTGTGGATGCTGGCAGGGACTTCCTGCAACCGAGCGGCCCCTTGAAATGCGGATCTGATTCATGCCACCAGGGTGGCACCTGTGCTCCACGGAACCAAGCATGTATCACTCGCAAAGACGAGCTTCTCGTTCGAACGACTGACGGCAGGCTCGAACCTGTTCAACCGGCGCTCAATCACAAGAGGTGAAGCTGGGCACGGTGCCCGGCACATTTGGCAACAAACACCTCCTTGCCGTACTTATACCACTCCTGCCCCAGACGACATCGGAATTCTGCCGATCCTCTGCCGCGTTTCCCGAATACCCCTGCGAGCTCTCCTCGTTCGAGATCTCCGTGGATGGTGTGGTCCTTCTCCGCTCGCGTTCCTGCGCGTGGCTCTGTCTGTCAAGTTGCCACGGGTTCGAATTCCAGTTTGAGCCTCCGGGGCGATGTCCGGCGCCTTATCGTCTGCCGGCGGTGGCTGTGGTGGACTCCTGTCTGACGACAAACAGGCCTGTCATTAAGATAGCTTCTGGATGCTTCTGGCATGCCGGCCTCTCAATCAAGGAGCGACGGTCCTTGGGTCGAGGCTTGAGTGCTGCGCAGGTTGTGCAAAATGCAGACAATGCTCATTCGTCTAAGATTGGTTCCACTCCGTCGTCAGGTCCACCACCCCCGAAGAAGTCTTGCGCCACTGCGGCGTTGGGGAGGGCGGATGCCAGCAGCAACAAGCAAGCCTTGGCTGCAAGGCAGCACAACATGGGAGCCTCGCTCGAGAGCTCTGACAGCGCTTGTCATCCTGTTTCACTGCGCAGAGAGAAGTCCAGCAAATGTGAGAGAGACATGTAAGGTGCACAGAGCTTTTCCCAAAGCTCATTCGTGGCTCGGCACCACCGCGCCCGCCGAGATGGGAGTAGCGAACCCAGAGCTGTCTCCGGTCCTGCGAAGGTGCCGTAGGCAACTTTACCCAGCACCGAAAAAACCCATCACCCCGGCCTTGCCGCAGGCTCGGAGGGTGATGCCTTCCTTGGCTGGGCCAAGTTGCAGCGCCGCGGACCGGGCGTGCTAAATGCCTGCAGGGCAGGCCGGAGACAAAATGCCCTCAAGTTGCCATTTGTCTATGTCTTCTTGCGCGCCTCCGGAAGTAGAGCACTCGCTCCGAGTAGGAGAAGACCTTGGAGTCGAGGCGAGGCTCAGAAGCTCAGGCAGACTCTCGTTTTGGCAGACTCTGCAGACACCCTGAGCCCAGCTCCCAGCTTGAGCCTCAGAATCACCCGGCACATCCAAGATGCTCTGCACAAAATAATGAGAGGTCGTGTGCCATCGACATCGGTTCTGGCTTTGTGAACGGACACAGGAAAAAAGCGTGGGTATTCACAGACGTCAACAACTGTGAAAACGGCGGGCCGAACGGATCATGGTGTCGTTGGTGTCGTTTGCCATGTGTTCTGTATGATGACAAGCACGGAAAGCCAAGATGGTTGTCGTGTCGATCACCTGTTTAAAGCATCCATCCACTTATGTTTCATCTTGTTATCCATTGTCCAAGTGATAATCCTTTCCGAGATCCATTGGTCCATTGCAGGCACAACTCTTTGAATCAATTCAATCTGATCCAATCACAACACTGCACGTTGTCATAGCTCAGGCAAGCAGCAAGGGAGAAGCCGGTCGAGGTGCCCAGGTTCTCATCCGGGCAGAAAATTCGGCGAAAACCTCAGGCTTGAGGGCAGATGAGGCTCCGAAGCTGAGCATTCGCAGATGACTCCCAAAGCCGGGAAGCAGGAAGCTCCCTCAGGGCACTCTCTGCACGAGAACTCGGGACCAGGCTGAAGACTGAATACCAAAGCTGCGCAAGGCTACGACTCAGGGGGCTTAGGCTTGCCAGTGTGCTCTAAGGGGCTTTTGTCCACTCTGGCCGACAAAGCGACTCCCCAAGCTTTCAGGTCGTAGGTACCAACACTGGCTTTCTGCTTGCCACCGTCGCGAGTTGTAGCAAATGTTCTCTCGAGCTATCTTGCAACGCGACTTGCGTGCTACGAAACTTGAAACCTGAGCATCGGCCGAGACGAACACGTCGGTTGTGTCTTTAAGTCATTTGGCTGTCGCCAGCAATGGTCAAAAGTTTTCCGGTCAATGGCAGGCATACGTCCCAAGAAAGCAGCCACCCGATACATGATATATTTCGGCATCAGTGCAAGTATGTGCAAGTGCTCCCCCTCAGTACCTGTCCTCCATGAACGCCCGAAGTAGTTGTGATGCATAGCGTAGTTGTTTTGATTCTTCGCCTCTGGTCCAGAGCCCCTCTGGCAGCCAAGCCGAAAAGGCAGTGAGCCTGCATCAACCTGTGCGCTACAGTGTGCCCATCATAAACCAGATTGATGTGCTCGGCTTCGCGGAAAGAGAAAAGCCACATCCATGTAAGCCCAGCTTCAGAATTCCCAAGAAATACGCATGCCAAGATCTTTTACTCTGTCCGCTGCCGTTTGCGGCGCTTCGCCGATTCTCTGGCCTGAGGCCACCATCGAACTCTTTGTGTAGCATCAAGATCTAACGCAGACACAAAGGGCATGCAACAGTATGCAAACTCAGACCGCGCCCTGAAATCCGGCCTGCTGCCGCTGCCTTCGGCGATCCATCCGCTTCTTTGCCACTGCCTCTCAGCTTCTGGGGCGAAGTACAGGACGACTGCTTCCAGCAGATCCCGCCTCCAGGAATGGAACGTCTGTGTAGAGGCTCTTCAAAGGGACGTCGGCCTTGCTCACGGCTCCACACTCATTATTCAGAGCGAACTTGGCAGGATTTCCCGGAGAATCTCGGTCCTCGCCCTCGGCGGCTTGCAGGCTAACATCGCGACCTTTGGATGCCAGCAGCGCTGGCACTGGAGGAGTCAGAAGGGACCCGAAAGTTCCACGAAAAGTACGGGCCCCCTGGGCCTCTCGATTGCAGCAGACCTGCGCCCTCAAAATGCTGGAGAGCCGCCTGCGACTGGAAACAAGCTGGCAAATGATGCGCACACGCTGCGAAACGCTGCCCATGCTGCGCTCTGCAACATTGCGTCACGATTCTGGCCTGCGATAATGCAGGGCTAATCTGGAGTCCACTTTGTTCGCAAACCTCTGCTACCAGCGATGCCTGCCAGCAAAAAAAGTGTTATGATTCGCACCTCACTTTTGCATCAAGAGATGTACATATCGTGGAATTCAATGCCCTTTCTCGTCTGAACAATCGAAGCAACTTCTGCTCGGAGTCTGAGCTTCGGACCAACCGGCCACGCCGGCGGCATCGGGCAACTTCTTCGGATGCCCTGAGCAAAGGCCTCTGCAAAGATACCAACCATTGCAGCAAAGCGCGGCCCTTTCAGCAGGCAAAGCTGAGATCACTGCAGCAAAGCGGAACAAAACCGCTGCATGACCTCCATGGGATGGATTGTGAAGGAGTGCTGAAGCTGCTCAGCAGGCAGACGGACGCGCATGGAGTCACTGGCTGAAAACTAGGTGAATGAGCATGCGGGCAGGTGTCATGCTCCTCTTGCATGCAACAGCTCGCAAGAGGTGCGGCCAACTTTGCATGTTCGAGAACATGCGGTTCAAGGTCAACTTAGTGGTGAACTGGGCCTTAGAGTTTACAGATGTTGACAGTCCTTGCTCGTGAGCTTGGATGTTTGTATGCCCTCCCATGTTCGATCCTACAGAACAGCGAGTTCAACTCTGTTCGTCGGTGCAAGATATGCACCGCCACAGAAGGTCTCGGCGCAAGCCTACATAAGCCTACATCTACGACGACACGACTCCTGCAGCGGATAAGAAAGAGGACACTATCATATAATATAATTAGAATATAATTGCAATATAATTATAATTATGATATATTATAATTATATAATACCATAATATAATATAATATAATA